AATGAAGCCTATCTGTGAAGGCTGCCATATACATAGTTTACACTCAGAAGATATTAACCACTGTAATTGACAGGAGGCAGCTTTCCTATTGCTATTGTAACAGATTCCACAGATTTAGTGGTTTGAACAACATAGATTATTTTACAGTGCTATAGGTCAGAAGTCTGAAGTGGGTCTCAGTGGGCTAAATGAAGGTGTTGGCAGGGCTGTTCTTTTCTGGAGGCTCTAGGGCAGGATCCATCTCCATGGCTTTCCAAGGTCTGGAGGCCACCCCCACCCCTTGCCTCCTGTTCCCCTTCCTCTATCTTCAAAGCTGGCAAAGTAGGGACAAGTTCCTCTCATGAGGCTGTCTCTATTGATTCTTTTCTGCCTCCTTCTACTTTTAGGAGCCCTTGTGATTTCACTGGAGCCACCTGGACAACCCCAAATACTCTCTCTATTTTAAGGTCAGCTGATTAGCAACCTCAATTCCATCTGCAACCTTACTTTCCCCTGCTGTGTAACCTAACATTTTCACAGGTTCTGGGGATTAGGATTTGGGTATCTTTGGAAAGCTATTATATTATTCTGTCTACCGCAAGGGGCAAAGGTTTATTCTCATTAGGTGGATTTTCTAGGGGCAATAGGTTTATTCCTCACCTACCACCAGTCCAGAAAAGTGATGAAACCACACAAATACCCCACAGCCCCTGCCTGCCTATTTTTGATAAACTGTCCTCATGTACTCATCTGGGAAGAGAATCTCTCCTCTGTTGAGCTTGCTGTCTGGTTAGGGTAGGGACACTGGAGAGAGAAGAGTATAAAGGTGTAACAAAGGCTTTTTTTTTTTTTTTTTTTTTTGCGGTCCGTGGGCCTCTCACTGCTGTGGCCTCTCCCGTTTGCGGAGCACAGGCTCCGGACGCGCATGCTCAGCAGCCATGGCTTACGGGCTCAGCCGCTCCGCGGCATATGGGATCTTCCCAGACCGGGGCACGAACCCGTGTCCCCTGCATCGGCAGGCGAACTCTCAACCACGGCGCCACCAGCGAAGCCCACAAAGGCTTTTTTTGTTTGCTGTTTTGTTTTTGTTTTACTTTCTGCACTTGCAGGGGACCCTGGATATCCAGATTATCACTGAGGTGATGGTGGTGCAAGGAAGGAATTGACTAGTTTAGATTCCTCATGTAAGTGGGATATCATATTTGTCCTTCTGTGTCTGGCTTATTTCACATAGCATAATGTCCTCCATGTTCATCCATGTTGTCACAACTGGCAGGATTTCTAGAAGGAGCCGGTTTCATTTTTTTGTTAGAGAAGAGCATCCCTGTCCTTGACTTAATGCTCCGTAGAGATAAGTCCAAGGAAACACAGATTCTACCTGTGGCCCACACGGCAACTCTCATTTCTGAGATGCTGCCTCCCAGGCTCTCCACAGAAGCCCAAAGAAGTTACCTCCTTCTGCCTTAACAACATAAAGCAGCATTGCTTTTTCCAATATGGAATATCAGAGGGCGTGAGTGGTATTGGTAGGAGGCGATTATTATCATTTACAGAAATTTCTACAGTCTTGGGTTTGTCTCTGAGTATTTTCTCTGGTTTTGTGCATAAATGATGTGATCTAAGGGATTACAGTAGCGATGCAGAGGAGGTCATGGAAGGCACTAAATGTGACCTGGTTTTACATGGCACTAAGCTTTCTTCCCAAACTGGAAGTTGAGGAGCCTGGACTGATTTTAAAGAAACCCCATGATGTTCAAGCAGAATAGAGCCAAGCATCTGCCTGAGTTTTAATAAAGGAGGCAACTGTCTTTTTCAAGTTCTCACCTTACCAGCATTTTCTTTCTCAGCCTTTAAAATTTGCTTTAGAAATAGAGAACAGCCCCACAGAGCTCTCGACAAAGATGGGAGAAGGCTAGTGTTTGGCAGACCTCAAAGCTTTTTCTAAGAGGCTGTGAGACTTTGATTATCCATAAACCATCACTCTCAGAAACATTGTACAATGACTTAGAAATGGCTACCATTTCCAAGTTAAATAAAACTCAACTTTAGTACAGATATCTAAATAATCTTTTAATACTTGCCTTTGTCTTGTTTTGATAAATCCTCAATTGCCTTCAGCATCTCAGTAACTGTTGCACTGACACTTTGATAAATAGAGAGACTGAAATTACAAAACAGCTGGAAGAAGCTGGGAATGTCCCAGCTTTGCACAGGATGTGCTTTTTTTGCTGGCTCTTTGGAAAAAGCTGGAAAAAAGTAAGGCTCCATGAAGTCTGTATCTGACATGAAATATGATTGAAAAGCCTGGTCAAATTCTTGCTGCATCTGTTTGAAGACGTCAAAACTCCTGTTATAGAGAAATCCCACATCCACAGTCAGTTGGCTGAACATGTTCTCTATCTGGGTCAGTTGTGCATCTTCCTCAACGAACTTCTCACCGATGGGAAGGTCTTTTTCATTATCTTCATGGAAAGGAAACAGAAACTGATATATCTTCCTGAAAAAATGTTCAAGCTGTGGGGTGGGATGGGGGACAGAAATGAAATAAATTAATTTTCTTTTGGACTATTTTTTTATTGTGAATTTTAATGTCAACTTACAAGTAGTCATTCCAAATCAAGAACAGTTCTGGGCAAACTAGGAAAAGGTGATCCACTTTAAGATAATTTATTAACATTCATGTACCTGGCTTTGACTTTGACTATGGAAATAGGGTCTGAAGTTCCTCCTGGTTTCTCTTTTCCTACCAAGGCCTAAGAAGGTCAAGTTTCCAATATTATTGACAAGCCACAGTCCCGATGTACTGGTGGTGGTTGGCATGCATGGTTTTAGACCGTGCAGCCTGAAAACTGTGAAGAAGGCTCTTGTCTTTCACCTCTGCCTTAGTGCCTTAGTTCTTCTTTTTTTTTTTTTTTTTTTTTTCCTTCAGTGGCAAGAAGGCAGGAAGACATGCGATCGAGACTCTATGACTTATCAGGTCTGTTCCCCTTTTGGGATACAATGTTGATATTCTCTTCCAGTCCTCCAAGAGTCTGAGTTTTGCTTTGTTTTGTTGTGCTTTTTGCAGTCTCTCAGGGAAGAGTTAAAATATATTCAATATATCCTGCCCTCAGTCCTCCCTAGAACATACCTTTCCTTCTGAAAGGTGGATGGGTTAGATTCTGAAAGGGAGTCTCTTAGTTGTTCTTTAAAAAAAAATTTTTTTTTTTTTTTTTTTTTTTTTTTTGCCTTCAGTGGCATGCTATTCGTATCTTTATGCTCTCCTCTCTCTCATCTCATAAATTAGTCCAGCGAAAAGATCAATACATTCACATTGAACTATAGATGCTTAATACAGCTAAATAGGTTACTTCGGGATGTTACATATTACCAGTGATCAAAGCCCTCCTTGGCTGTACTCAAAGGAATGAAGCTCTAATTATAGAATTTCCTATTCAGGGGGAGATCTTCCAGCAGTCACACCATGTTCTACTTCATCTATGTGACACATAAGTTCATGCCAGAACACAGTTGCCCTTGTATGATAGTGATATGACCCTGTTGCATGTTTTGGAACATAGCAACCATCAAACATCACTGTGGGAGCACTCCCCACCCCTGCTCAAGGGCTGTTCAAAGAATTCTCCAGGGATTCTTAGAAGACTCATGCCTTTCTCAAAAAGTAATCTGGGTGGATCATCTGCCTCTCCCTCTGCCAGCTTCTGTTTACCTGAACCCAGCCACAAAAACGAAACTTTAAAGGCCCAAGAAATTATCATAAGGTCACACAAAAGGTGCAGATAGGAATGGTCCCCAAAGCTCCTGACTTCCAGCCAGTGCTCATTCCAGTATACTCTGGTATGTTAGAGAGTGGCTATAAAAATAGAGCAGATGCAATTAACAGTGGAGGCAAATTAACTTGGCATATGAATTATCCTTGGGGTTGTTCCTTCTGTAATTGGGGATGGCACTGCCAAGCCAGGCGCAGACTCTGATTACTGCATGCTCTGATATGGAGAGGGGAATTTCTCTGCGTTGCATACTCAGCCCACTTCTTGAAGGGGAAGGGAGATTCAGGCCAAGAGAAGAGGAGCCTTTTATGGGTCAGAGCTCATCGTATTCAGGTCACCACCCTCTGTGATTCCCTCTGCCCAGAAGAGAGCCAAAGAGGACAAAAAAGAAAACATGCCAGTCCTACAGGATGTGCATGGATTGGGGTAAAGGGGACGTGAATGTGGGTATATGTGTGCACGGGCATGTGTGTGCTGCCACAAGAGGGCAAGCCCATTGAAGGAGAGACTCAGGAGGCAGAGGACGCCTTCAAAGGCTTAGCCTCCAGCGAAAACATTAAAGCAGGTTGAAATCAGAGACTATAATACTATTATTCAGAATGCAATTCAGCAAACATTTATTGAATGCCTACAGTGCTTAAATGAAGGCAGATAAGATATGGTTCCTGCCCTCAAAGAGCTTACAATCTAGTGGGAACGTGTTCATAAATAACAAATACAAGGCAGAAAGAGTCAGGGTGTTTCTGAGAGATACACACAGTGTCCTGAAAGGGAGGGCAAGCACTGGATGGCTGTTCTAACTTAAAAATTATATATCCACAAGTGATTCATACATAAGCATGAATGCTAGATTCTAGCTTGCAAAAGGCCAATATCTATTCTAAATATTAACATAAGTTAATTTTTAAAAGTAAGCTGAAGCACATACCTTAAGAACTTAGAAACCTTGAGCTCTATTTTTCCCTTACCTTGTTTTTCATAGAGGACCAACTGTTTTGGCAGGTTGTATAAAATCTCATGCAGTTACTTTCCAGGCAAGATTTGCATTCATCCCAGGAACCTATCAAAGACACCTGGCATAGCCTTTCTTCCTCTTCTAGATGTTCTTGAACTTCATTCATAAGTTTCAGAGCCTCCTAATTAAAAAGTAGAAACACACACCCTATTTCCATTTCATGACTCTATGTGTTGTACCTTAGTTGATTTCACTCTTTACAAAATGTGCGTATTCTAAACTAAACCTCTGGGAATTCCCTGGTGGTCCAGTGGTTAGGACTCGGCACTCTCACTGCCAAGGGCCCGGGTTCCATGATCCCTGGCCAGGGAACTAATATCCCACAAACCCTGCGGGGCAGCCAAAAATTAAAACCAAAACAAAAAATACTAAACCTCATTCCTTCTTCAAACCCTTAGCGTCTGACAGATCTACCTTGAAGCTTTCTGTTAACTTAAGAGCACTGCTTGATCTCTACTGAAGACCAGGCAGTTCTTATTCACCTGTTCATTTGTACAGTCAACAGCTATTTATTGAGTGCTTGCTATGGGATGGACATTCACTGCCTGTGGGTGAAGCAACAATGAAGACCCAGCCCCTGCTCTGCTGAATGACTGTAACTGATCTGTTTACTTGTCTGTCTTCCCTTCTAGTCCTTGAAGGATGTGGAAGATGGGTTTTTAAGGCTTACAAAGTTGACACATTTATTTCCTTCATTTATGCTGCTTTTAATTTTTGTATGTTCTCAAACACTGCAAAGAAGCACAATTCTTGTGTATCAAATCAAATCTTGTATATTAAATTCCTGTATACTGTATATCACAATTCTTGTAGTGAGTTGCATTCTAATGGCAAAGATGCTGTATTCTGAGGGGCTTCATTCTTCTCATCCACATTCCAAGCACTCCCCCTTGTGGTGCCTGCTGTACTCAGCCAGGTCCCGCCCAGCAGAAGCGACACCTGTCCCTGAGAACGCCAACCCTGCCCCCAGAGCTCCCCCCAGGCCAGCCCCACGTAGACCGCTCCCCCCCAACAACGTCTCCCTGCAAGTGTGGGTTTCTGCAGACCGGCTCCCTCCAGGCCTGAGAAGTAGTTCAGGGGATTTAGGGGATATAATGGACCTGTGCTGTCCATAAGGAGAAAGCCTCAGAGTGGATGAAGACTGCCTTAAGTGAAAAAAAACACGAGGGAGCACAGTTTCTAACCCCAATGTAGTATGCACTTTTACCTACGGGAAAAGAAAAAGAAATCACCCTTTCCTGGCATATTAAGTCCAAAGAAACACCTGGGCACTGACAATCCCCCCTACATTTCCTCTGCAGGGCTTGGTTTTTTCAGCTGCCCTCATGGCAGAATCCTGGGGCTAAGCTGGGTGTCATTTGCTACGTCCCACATAAGAAACCTGGCAGGGCTCCAGTCTGCCAAATGCACCTCGTGATCCAGACAGGTTTAACTTGTCTCTTTGGGCTTTGCGGAACAATTTTGGAATCCTACAACTTCTCAAGAAAGGTTGCCTCACCAGGACAGGCAACAGTACTGCCCAGGTTTTCTCAATCAGTCTTTTAAATATTCTGCCCATTGTCACTATACACCGAAATCCCAATATTTCCAATTACAAACTACACTCACTGTGGACCCTTGGGCAAATTATTTAACATCTCTGAGCCCCTGTCTCCTTCTTAGCAAATAGGAATAACTGTAGGATCTACCTCTTAAGGTTTCGTATTAAGTGAGATGAGCAAGCAAGGCACACAGTCCGTAATCATCTGATTTCCTTCCACTAACCTCCAAGAGTGTAACAAGAGCCAATGACCAAATCACATGGCCCAAGTTTTGGTACTGAAATGTTGCCATGGAGGAAGTAGGTCTCTGGTTTAGGAATGCCTTGTCCATGCCTTCTGCTTCCCCCTAAATGTCCCACCCAGCAATAGATTCCATACTTAGAACTCTCTTCCTGCAGTTCAAAGTCCCACACAAACCTGGATGGGGGTGCAGGGTGTGGGGAATCACTTGAAGCTGCTTTAGGGTTTCCCACTTTAGTAAGAGCAAGTTTCAGATGCTCCCACTAAATATAAATAGGGAGAAGCTGATGAGGAGGATCAAGATTACACTGGATCACTTGAGGATGGGATGTGTTTTGTTCTGGGAGACTTGGGGGCACCCACCCCATATTTGTCAATTCGTAATTTGACTCCAGATGCGCAGGCTCAGTGGCCATGGCTCACGGGCCCGGTCGCTCCACGGCATGTGCGATCTTCCCGGACCGGGGCACGAACCCGTGTCCCCTGCATCGGCAGGTGGACTCTCAACCACTGCGCCACAAGGGAAGCCCGGTTTTCCCTTTTGTAAATGAATTTTTAAATGAGTACCCGAAACCTTAAGAGTATAATTCAATGATTTTTTAAAAAATAAATTAGTAGGTCTTAAGAAATAATAAAAATTCTACTAGCTCCTTGGATTCTTCAGGGTCAGAAATGGAACTAACGCTTGCTAACCTGACCCACACCAAGCATTCTTTCCATAGTATGTGCTCCCTCCTTGGCTTGCCAGGAGGCCCAGGAAAGGGAGAAAAACAGAAAGTCACTGGGTCTTCCACAGACACAGCACCAGTGGACTTTCTCCTGGGTCAGTCATGACAGGGTTACAACATTGTAAAGCAACCATACTCCAATAAAAATTTAAAACAACACATTAATTAACATCTCAAAACTCAGTTTCCTTAGCTGTAAAATGAAAGTGATGGTTTACTCAGATGTTGGAAGGACTGCAAGTGATAATGTGTTTTATAAAGGGCCTGTGAATGATATCTAGTGTGGTTATTCCCAGTGGCCAGACTCACAAGCCCACCAGGGAAGAACACATTTTCCTCATGAGGAGCTGGTTTTCATTTCCTCAGGGTCTTTTGATCTCTGCCGAAAGGGAGGAGGGCTTCCAGCTGCTGGTCAAGCAATCTCCTTTCCTCGACAGGGACCCTGTGTGGTGCAGGGAGAGGGATGGCTGCAAAATCAACCAGCTGGTGACAGGCTGACTACAGCTTTGGGGTCCCAGCCTGTGATGTAGCCCTGCTCCAATGGACCAGGGGACACCCAGTGGTCACCGTGTATTCCAGCAGCTCCGGAGCTTGGTAACCCCCAACTTTATAGGTCTACAGGTCTAGGTGTAGATCAAGGTCTAGAGAAGAGATATTAGAACCTGTATTTGTGTTTTTTAAATTTAAAAATCAACTATGGAAAGGAGAAATGGGGAGTTGTTTCATGGGTATAGAGTTTCAGTTTTGCAAAATGGGGTGAATTCTGGAGATTGGTTGTCCAATAATGTGAGTGCATTTAAAAATATATATTTCTTTATTTATTTGGTTGAGCCGGGTCTTAGTTGCAGCTCACTGGTCTTAGTTGTGGCATGCATGTGGGATCTAGTTGCCTGGCCAGGGATCAAACCTGCGACCCCTGCATTAGGAGCATGAGTCTTAACCACTGTGCCACCAGGGTAGTACTGTGAGTGTATTTAATACTATTGAGCTGTACTCATAAAAGTGGTTAAGATGGCAAAGTTTATGTTATGCATGTTTTACCACAATTAACAATGTTTTCATGAAAATAAAATTTAAAAGTAATTTACTCCCAATTTTAAAATTTAAAATATTTTCCAAATTATTTTTATAGTTTTGATATCCTCTATAAGGGTATGTTGGAAAATAAATTTAAAAATTTTTTAACTGTTCTGAGTGTTATGTTAATGGTTAATGATATGAAACTATGAGCCATGCAATGTCTATAATTTAGAAATGTATTGAGCTTTATACTGTAACATATGAACAGTTTTTAATATGGCCCATAGACATTTGAATATAAGGTATATTCTCCATTGATAAGATACATAGTTTGGACAACAACTATTAAGTAAAGGTATTTGAATTTAAAAACATGATGAGGCTGATGTACTATTTCACATGCACTGGTGCTTGTGTCAGGCCATTGTGTGTGGCCAGCTGTGCGTGAGGACCCGGCGGAAGAGACACTGGTTGCCTCTCTCTGTTCACTTGGAGCCGGTTGCAATGACTTGCCATTTAAAAGAACTCAGGTAAATGATGTTTTTTAACTACTTTTAACTAAACTAGCCCTCACAAAATGAACAGGAGGCTTTAAAAGTTTCTTGAAAAAACCCCCCAGCAGATTAAAAAATATGAATAACTTAAGCTCAAGCAGATAAGAAGCAAATGGCAGGGCTGCCACTTTTTCATTACAAGCTCTTTGGCCTTGTGTCAGTAAAAATATGATGATCTAATCAGATTTGGCAATAAGCTAAAATATTTTCAAAATATCTAGATTATTTGAAATATGGACTTACATCTACCCAAGCTAATGATGATCCCTAAGTGCATTCTGTGCCTTGAGATAATAATGGTAGCAATTCATGTGTCTAATTTAATAAATAAATTAAAATGCATATATTCAGGAGTGGATGCTAACAATAATTATGGTAATAGGGATGGGAAAGAAAAAAACTTTGGAGGCCACTGATGTAGCCAAAAACTCCCAGACACTTTTGACACAATATCCCAACTCAAAAGGCACCAATAAAGCATTTTTAAGAAAGCAGCACTTCCCAAACAAAGCCGAATCCCCCAAATTCCCGAGTTTGGAGTCCTTCGAAGGCCTAATCTACAAGGAATATGTTCTTTGAAGAAATTTGAAATTTTCTTCAAACTCTTCCTCCAATAAGGGCTGCTCTCCAGAAAATCTATGATTAGGGTAAATAAGTAATTCCTCCAGTGCACTCAGACATGCACTATTTATGATCCAGATATAGTTAAGGACAGGTATGATTTTCAATGACTGTACCTGCTTTTCTTCTCTGCATTTCTTCAGGGTTCTCATTAGGTTGCCATGTTCCTCCTCTCTTCTTTCCATCAGGATTTTCATTTGCTTCATGCCAGTCAAAGCCTTCTTCACCTCTTCATCTATATCTATCTCCCCAGCCTTGGAAAAACCTAAAAGATTACGGTGCAGTTGTAGTTTTTTCCTTTGAGATCTGATCAGATTACAATGTATCAGAACACAATGAGTTCACCAACTTTTCATGTTCCCCCAGCAGAGGCTTAATTGTTTTTTTTTTTAACAGCATCAAACTTTGAAAGCAGATCACAATGATCTGGGCTGTCAGCTGCCACATGGACACGGCTACCACCCGGGTGATACCTTCCGTTCCTCACTTCTGAACTTCTAGCCAAGTCAGAGTTCATTTAACCCTATTCTTATCATTTTCCTCAGGGCCTGTTTTCATTTATCCAATTGTTTTTCTTTCCCTTAAAACTCAAGTGTGTTTATATTAGA